TCCATCTGGTGTCAGGGGGATTGTACGTACTCAATTCTTTGGGCATCATGTGTCATCGGTCTGTCCATCAGTTTGTTTATCCATCTTTCTGTTTGTCTGTCATTTTATTTGTATAATTCTTCATTTTGCAATGTGAAGGACTTAAACAGTAAATGTTGTTTCTTGATTGTATTTTGTATGATATCCCTTGTAGATCATGCAATACAATCATTGGGCATTAAACTAACTGACAATCGACGTTAAACCCAATCCCCCTATGGTCACCAAGCTATGAGATTCTCCATGCTACAAGGAGAAGGGCCACAGTATTCCAAGACCATTTTATTAACTAGAAACACACTGATGTCATATCATCGCTGGGAACTCGGTCTTCAAAGCAAGACACAAGTTTAACCACTCTTTGGGGAAATTCCTGGCATTCCATATACACTAATTCCCACTACTAATTGGCATTCACCCTGTAAGGTCAGAAGCTGCTTCCCTCTCATTCCAAGGCTTTTCCCAATCATTCGCATATGGAAAACAATCACAACTAATGATGTGCTGGTTTCAGGCTCAGTATTGCTTACCGACAGAGAATTCTCACGTCCTCATGGAAATACTTCCTTGTTTTTTGTCCTACTGAGATCCATAGATACCTGTGGGCCTCAGGAGCTAATCTCAAGTCTTTGATTTGAAACGTATACCTCAAACTGGACACAATGAAATAAAGGAAACTAATAAATGCATCTATTCAATAAACAGTGTGTTGATGAAAACTGATTTCAAAAGTAAATTTTTATATTATCTCAAGAAATGGAAAAGGAACCACACTTAATTCACTCAAGACAGGGTGCTTAGCTAAACCAAGGGCCAGCACAAGCCCAGAAAATAACAAATACCAGTATTAGAAAAAGGGTCCAGGCACTCCAATGTTTTCTTGCACCTTTATTAGAACATGTGGAAAAACTGCAACGTTTGGACTCCCAGTGGCGTCTTTGTCAAGCTAATTCACACCAAAGCTTACAAAACATTTATAAGAAAAAACATAGTGAAAGTGCAAAATCTCACTCAACCAATTAAATAATCTGTAGTTTATTAATTGCCTCTAATTCAATTTGGCTTAATATGCAAGACACCTGGTAGTGTTTTAGTACTCAAATTCAGAACCACATCTAAAGCTGGTGTTTATAGACTATGTTCTAATAAAGGTGACTGAAGATATGGGACCCTTGTTCTAATACTGTTTTTTTTATATTATCGTCATTTATATAGCAGCAACATATTCTGCAGTGCTTTATGTAGCGGGACATCTGGTAACCCGACCGGTTACTTTCGACCCATATTCCCCAGTAACCAGACGACACAACAACACTTTATTGGCCACACGGCTTTATACTGTCCCCCATGCAAGGGGTTGAATAATGGATCTGGAACTCCAGACTCTTTGTCCTCTATTCCCGCCACTCAGTGGTTCCTCCCAGGGCCCTCCCCTCCCTCAAAGGGAAACTGAACTCTCATCCCTTTGTCCCCTGTTCCCGCCACCTACCCTCAGGGTTCCCCACCAACGGTGGCCAGGGGGTTTTCATCCCGCTGGGGAGGCCCAGTGGGAAAGTTTATCGCCTCTGGGACTATCAGGCACAGAAAGCCCGCCAAACCACCATTGTCCCCACCAATCTCAGGGATCCCTCAGAATGGTAACTGTCTCCGTTTGTGGGATTCCTGCCTGAAACCAGGCAAGGGAAGCTTCTTCGTTCGGGACATGAATGCTCCCTCTCGCCGCCGTCCATATATACGAACGGTGCCACCCAGGGAAGCACTCATTAATTTCTGCCCTTGCGGTTTCACACTAATGTTGCAAAATACCAACGTTCTAATTGATTGGTGTGAACACTCCAATGGGCACTGGGGAGGTCTTTGTTCGGGAATCGAACTGGGTGGAAAGCAATCAGTGAATGCTCCCCTTGGCTGGCGTTCATCTAAGGAACGGGCCGCCACCCAGGGTCAGCACGCACCGAGGCTTTCCTTGCGGTTTGTGGTTTTTACACCTTGTTAACTAGGTGTGAACGTTCTAAACAAATATTCTAAATGCGGTATTGAGGTGGTCCACGTTTGGGAGTCGGACAGAACTCGTTCATATGGGTACTCCCAAACGGGGAGCAAGCAAATCACACAAATACACATAGTTATATGGGAAAACATGGGGGTGTCACACAGCAATTCACTGATAGTAGTTACGCCACACTTTTCAATTATAAAAAGGGGCTATTTATATGAGAAGAAAGGCCTACTCAAGCAAGCATACACTCAGTGAGGATTTGAGGTAAGTATATATAATATATCTCAATATCAATAGGTATCTTGCCCAAGGTCACTTACTGGTAAGGTGGTCAGACCGGGATTCGAACCTAGGCTTCCAAACTCCAAATTAGATCTAAATACTCCAAAGTAAATGTAATGAAGATTTCATTTCTCAGTACAGCTTGCTTGTCCTAGATAATGCAAGTCAGTTGTCTACTTACCAGAGTTTCCTGTTTAGTGAATGATCCCTTTAATATCTCTTGTGCATGGATAATATGTGAGAATTGACCTATCAACTTGAAAACCATGGTTTTGTGGGAAAGCATGAGGAGAAAAACTGCCGACAATGAATTGACTAGCGTTTTAGTAATTCTACTAAGATTCCTTCAACAACTGCTGGAATGTGTATCCACAGGAAAAATAAAAACTTTCAATATAGACTACTGAGATGTATTATATGATAAAATGTATAAAACTACCTGAAATTTCGGTTTTGTACCGCACAAGAGGACCTACAATCAAACACTCTGATAAAAAGGGTCTCAGGAATGTGCATGTTATCATACTGGATTGATTCTAAAATAAAATGTTCCATTGTTTCATGTTATACTGTTTATTTGTAATACATTAATTAAAGATTTAACGTGCTCTTTTCAGCTTTTAATGGCAAAGTCAACTATCTCTGCCGTTCTGCACTATTCCTCAATTCTATAATATCTGGATTAAAATAATTTTCTCAACAACAGAAAATAACAACCTTCATATAATGCAATCTGTGTTTCATAAAATAAACAGTCTGGCTCTCTCAGAAGGTCATATATCGACTAATCAAAGGGCCTCTCTTGTGCAACCGTCAGTGTTACGACATATGAACTGTGGAGTCTTCAAACATCTTTTCACACAAAGTGCTGACAAAAATAAAATCTAAGCCTCTTTTACAGAGAAGAACAAATAGAAAAAATGTGTGTTTTATTGATTTTTTTTCTGGAAAATATTGGTTTAATAACTACAAAAATTTAACAAAATATGTTATGCATAGAGTGCCGGGTTGTTGTATTAAAACCATTTGGTAGAAGATGTTTGGAACAAAGAATGCAATTTCATATTTTTTTCAATCCTTATACAGTTTACTTATAAAAAAGCATATATTGATAAAAATTATTACATACATTGAATATGCAATAAATACGTGCCAATAGTATTTTCTTTAATGATGTAATGATACATAATAATATTTGACTTCTGCTGTTTATTGCCACCAACATGGTCCGGTTGTCCTAATGAGGCCATCATGTCCTGAAAGCACTTATTAGGACACGGTGCTGGCTGGCATCCATTAACCATATGCTTTCTTCTTCTTCCAGTCTCCTTTGTGTAGAGTCACATTACGCGTGGTCACTTTACTCAATCTCAGTAACTCCATGTGGACACACGTGCATGTACTTCCATGAAACACCCTGAACCACGACAGCGATCATTGCTTTCACTGCTCTGATGTCCAGAGCTACAGTAATGGAGATAGCAGTATACTGTGAACTGTGATTTGTACCCACTCCTTGTCCATTCCCTGCTTGTGGTTTCTTGGTTACAGATTTCCTAGCACCAATCCATTGACTCCTCTCCTCAGTGGAGGTAGCCCCGGAGAGAGGCGCGAACCCCAGAGGAATCCCTGGAACTGTGAGTCGACTGGACAGCCACAGGGGTCCCACTGGCCGCCTGGAAGTCCGTGACTACCAATGGGAGAAGGTGCGCCCATTCAAACTGGGTTTGTGCCATTCTCCTGATTGGCTGGCACGAGTGAGCGCTGACTGGTTGCTGCGTTTGTGCCATTCTCCTGATTTGGCAGGGAAACCCTTCTCCTCCCTGAGCACCAATTGGTGCAACCGAGTTTCGCGCCCTTTCTTCTGATTGGGCGGTGAAACCCTCTCCTCCTTGAGTGATGATTGGCACAAATTGGTTTCACGCCTTTCAGTTGATTGGTTGTTGCTTGCTTTAGGTGCGAAGGTTAAATTCACTGGACTAGACCAAGCAACTCAAAGGTACTAATTTCAGGAATGTACAGAGCCTTGAGCCCCAGATTTAGTCAATGATACTCAGGCTCTGTACATCCGATAGCCTCGCTATTTGTAGGGATCATAGATGGGACCAGGGCTATCCAGGGATATGTATGTTTTATGTGTGTACCCCATTCCCTTACCAGGACAGGGAGCCCCTAAATGTTCCCCCATATATGTAATCTGTTTTATTGTTTGTAATAGATTTTACTGTCTGCCACTGTGTCATGTTGGCATCTCCCATAGCAGTAGATGGTTATCTGTAACCCATCCCCCTTCTCCTGCCTGGGACAAAGGAAAGTGCACTGAAAGAGGAAGACCCCCTGCGGTGGTCTGTGTTTAAAAGCTATTTGTACCAATAAAGGTTTGTCCGTGTTTTTAACCTGCAGAGTTGTGTTTTGTCCAGTTACTGGGGGGAAAATGGATGCCTGCTTGTTGTAAGGGTTCCTGAATGGCTGAAGGAAGACTTTAGCGGAGGTAACTGGTTGGGTTACCTGGTCATCCGCTACAGGGAGAATTTGCTCCTATGCTGGCATTTGATTAACAGTTCTCCTTTCTTCCATTGCCCCAGAGAGATTTCCCCAGAAAGGATGGTTTTGTAAACTGAGCTGTAATATTCACACTGATCCTTGCTTCCTCTCCGGATTGTTCTGCAGGGGAGGTATAATGAGTGGAGTGGATTTTAGAGGAGGTGTGGTAAATTTTAATGCTATTACTTCATCACTAGCTACACCTGAAAGTACCAGACTGGTAATTCCTGCTTTGGACCAGCCCCGCCCACTTCCAGACTGGTACTTCCTGCTTTGGACCAGCCCCACCCACTTCCAGACTGGTACTTCCTGCTTTGGACCAGCCCCACCCACTTCCAGACTGGTACTTCCTGCTTTGGACCAGCCTCACCCACTTACAGATTGGTACTTCCTGCTTTGGACCAGCCTCACCCACTTCCAGACTGGTACTTCCTGCTTTGGACCAGCCTCACCCACTTCCAGACTGGTACTTCCTGCTTTGGACCAGCCCACCCACTTCCAGACTGGTACTTCCTGCTTTGGACCAGCCCACCCACTTCCAGACTGGTACTTCCTGCTTTGGACCAGCCCCACCCACTTCCAGACTGGTACTTCCTGCTTTGGACCAGCCCCACCCACTTCCAGACTGGTACTTCCTGCTTTGGACCAGCCCCACCACTTCCAGACTGGTACTTCCTGCTTTGGACCAGCCCCACCACTTCCAGACTGGTACTTCCTGCTTTGGCCCAGCCTCACCCACTTCCAGACTGGTACTTCCTGCTTTGGACCAGCCCCACCCACTTCCAGACTCTTCCTGCTTCAGACCTGTCCATCCTCATGTAGTTACAAATGTTGAAATCTTCCTTTGTTTCTATAGTGATTGTTTGGGTCTATTCATCATGTAAATGAAATAGTTTATTTAGTACATGTGTTTACAGTTTGAAGACCCATCCTACATATTGTCATAGATTTGCATGACTGGAAAATAATATGATAGCCAGATGGAAGACACAATAGACTAAATTAGAAAGACAGGAATGCGTTTCTTTAGACAGCAGAAAATATACAAGGCAGCAGACAGAAGCTCATCGTGACTTTCTTTGTGTGATTTAAAAAATAAAACTGATTACAACGTTAAAATGCTTCTGTATACAGACAGGAGTCAAGATTTAAAAAGAGGGATCATAGCGAGTTCAGTCTGTGCTGACAACTCTGCTAGCAAAATGATTAAGAAATCTATACTTGGAAAATGTAATCCTGTCACTCTTGCATAAAGGGAATGAAAACAAGTTTAGCCATAAGGTCACCTAGGGCCCAGGGGTTAGACAGGGGCCCCCCAACCATGAATTTACTTGGCTGAATTAACCATCACGCAGTGAAGAATGAAGGGGGCCCAAACTGGAAACCTGCATAGGGACCCGTGGGGTCTAAATAAATAATAAAAACACATATTGTCAGGATTACAAGTTGATCCAGCACGCAAAACTAAGACTGAGGATAATGTATTACCGGACCTTAGAATGGCCGGACTAAATGTCTCCAAGAATAGTCAAAATACTAGCTGAGGTCAGGGACACAGAATCAGACACAAAGATGAGGGAAAACCAAAAGTCAAGGATACCAGAATTCAGGGAAGTCAAAACAAAGCCAAAGTCAAATACCAGAAAATCAAGATCAGGAACGCACTCTCGGATAACCATAGGCATGAAACCACAACAGGGCAATCAGCAAGAGGAGAATTGGGTTTAAATACCCCTCCTGTGGATCCAATTGGTTGTAACCGGCCTTTGACCCCATGTGCATGATTGTTGGTCGGCACAACTTTACCTGTCAGGACAGTAAATGCCATTAACCACATTTTTATGTGCGGATGAATAAGTGACACATATACAATGTTATGGTCAGTTATAAAATGTGTATTTCATAAAAAAAGACTCCCATCCACATTTCATTTTAATGTATGTGATAATGGCAGCTTCCCATCCCCCAAACAATCTATACCATACGGAGTCTGCAATAACAACTGGAGTGAGACTACAAGAAATAAAGTAGTTGGTCTAATAAAGTGTCGGGAGCTGCATTCTGAGTCTCACCCGGGGATAGGCACAGCCGGCCATTGATACAAATAGCTAAACTGCCAATCATCAGACTGACATGGTCAAAAACTTTAGATGTTTGACAAAGCATTGTAATGGGGAAGACATGCGGTGTACACTGTGTTTTTGGTGCCACAATGTTGGTTCCTTGTGACAAACGGCTGTCCTCTGGGATTTACACGGCATTCAATATGTAGTCAAAGAGATACAACGAAAAAAAAGAGCTGGGCTGCGCCACAATATAAGAATAAATACATTTAAAAAAAGTCTTTGCTCAGATAAGTCCCTGTAAGGACAAAGTCTAGGTATATAGAACTGGAGTCCAGTGAAAATCTTCAAAGTCAAGGAATGGTGGTTCTTGCACTTCTTAAATATCCATATATATCGGAAAGGGCAAGAAAAGATGAGAAAAGGTAATGGTGCAGTACGTTCCTCAAAGTGCATATATACCGCTGTATGCCATACATACCAGAGCTGGCTTAAGCTTTGTTGAATGTGAGTATAACCTTATTACTTTACCTATATATCTGCATTTTGAGGAATATAATGCACAATTACCTTTTATCGCCCTTTCATATTATATATATATATATATATATATCTCTCTGAGAAGTGCAAGAACCACCATTCCTTGACGTCGGAGATTTTCACTGGACTCCAGTTCTACATACCTAGACTTTATCCTTACATGGATTTATCCGAGCTAAGATTTTTTTATTTTTATTTTTTATTTATTCTTACATTGTGGTGTAGCCAAACTCTGTTTTTTTCATTGTATCTCTTTGATTATCTTCAAGGGCCTTGAGGGAGTCCTTGTTTGGGTTTGCTGCCTCCTCTTTTTTGGATTTATTAGCGCTGACTCTAAGCAGTTTTTCTTTCAATTTAGTATGTAGTGTCTACAGAGAATGTTGGGCATCCAGTGAGCATTAGTTCAGCCAGTGAAAACTCCGTATTAATCAGTGCGATCGTAACATAATACTCGATTGAAAACTCACCCTGTGTTGTTCAGAAGGACATCTTGAATAAAATACAGATTAAGGAACAGCGTACACATAAAAATACATTTCTAAATTTTATAAGGCTACATAAAATCACCTACCTTAGCAAACACATATGGGGATTCAGTTCCAACATAATCAGAATCCAACCAGTCAGGTTTCATCGAATAAGAATTCAACCAGATTAAATCTAATCAGAATCCAACCTAGTAGAATACACTCAATCAGAATACATCGAATAAGATTACAACCAACCAATCAGAAAACATCTATTTACTAAACATCCAATCAGAATATGACCTCTTAGAATATATCTAATCAGAATACACCCAATAATAATGCAACCAACCAAAATACACCCAATCAGAATGCAACCAATCAAAATACAGCTAATCAGAATCCATCCAATCAGATTACATCTAATCAAAATGCAAATAACTAGAATATACCCAGTCAGAAAGCATCCAATTAGAATGAATCTAATCATAATACGCCCAATCAGAATCCAATTCATCAGAATATATCGAATCAGAATCCAACAAATTAAAATACATCCAATTAAAATTCAACCAATGAGAATACATCTAATCAAATTACATTGAATGAGAATCCAACCAATCAGAATACATCTACTACGAATTCAACCAATCAGAATACACTCAGAGTCCAACCAATCAGAAAGCAACTAATCTGAATATATCAAATCAGAATGCACCCAATTAGAATCCATTCAATCAGAATACATCTAATCAGAATCCACCCAATCAGAATGCATCTAATTAGAATACACCCAGTCAATCAGAATATATCAAAGCCAAATTTAAACATATCAGATTACATTTAATCAGAATTCATCCAATCAGAGTCAACCCAATCAGAATTCAACCAGTTAACACCCAATCAGAAAGCATCTAATCAGAATATATCCAATCAAAATAGATGTAATCGGAATCCATACAATCAGAATACATTTAATCAGAATTATTTTAATCAGAATCCTACCAATTATAATGTATCTAATCAGAATCCTACCAATTATAATGTATCTAATCAGAATCCTACCAATTATAATGTATCTAATCAGAATCCTACCAATTATAATGTATCTAATCAAAATCCAACCTAACAGAATATATTTAATCAGAACACTACCAATCGGGATCCAACCAATCATAACCCATCAAATCAAAATCCAACCACTCAGAATATATATATATATATATATATATAATCTGAATCCACCCAATCAGAATCCAGGCAGGCAGAATCAAACCAATCTGAATACATCCAATCTGAATCCACCCAATCAGAATCCAGACAGGCAGAATCCACCCAATCAGAATCCACGCAAACAGAACCCATATAACAATAATATTGGCAGGTGTGAATAAACCAATGGCCATCCTCATTGCCACTAAATCAATCAATAAATCCATAAACAATCACTTTTACTTGGGACTTGTATTAATGTTCACTTTTCTAGAAACGTTAAGCTATAAAACACACACTATGTATTTAGTAGCAGTTTATAAGCATTCAGGAAGCATGCAGTCCCTATATTCTGTCTAACATTTTGTGGTTTACAGAGTATTTGCATTTACGCCATCGCGGTGCTCGGATACGCCATTAGCTGACTCACGTTTCATACATTAAACATTATAAGGCTATTTCACGGTGTTTGTTTCTCAGTGTTTATAACAGTGAGCAATGACTCCTAATGGATAGAAATGATTTTCATTTCATTTTATATTCATATTTATTGTATGAAGTCCAAATATATGACACAGTCCGTCTCGGTGCTCCACGTGATGTCATTTCAAGCACTGCAGCTATTTATTAAACAATACACATTCTTTCTCTGCTCTTACATGTTACCAGATGCCTGACTCATGCGGGCCCCTTTAATTCCTGTCTAATTCTCTCCTGGAATGACCTTTTCAAGAGTAAAATATAGTCAGAATAAATAACGAATCATCCCAATCTAAAGACATTCTTAGATCATATAATAAAATAACTATTAGTGGGTCCACACTCATTGATTATACAGGGAGTGCAGAATTATTAGGCAAATGAGTATTTTGACCACATCATCCTCTTTATGCATGTTGTCTTACTCCAAGCTGTATAGGCTCGAAAGCCTACTACCAATTAAGCATATTAGGTGATGTGCATCTCTGTAATGAGAAGGGGTGTGGTCTAATGACATCAACACCCTATATCAGGTGTGCATAATTGTTAGGCAACTTCCTTTCCTTTGGCAAAATGGGTCAAAAGAAGGACTTGACAGGCTCAGAAAAGTCAAAAATAGTGAGATATCTTGCAGAGGGATGCAGCACTCTTAAAATTGCAAAGCTTCTGAAGCGTGATCATCGAACAATCAAGCGTTTCATTCAAAATAGTCAACAGGGTCGCAAGAAGCGTGTGGAAAAACCAAGGCGCAAAATAACTGCCCATGAACTGAGAAAAAGTCAAGCGTGCAGCTGCCACGATGCCACTTGCCACCAGTTTGGCCATATTTCAGAGCTGCAACATCACCGGAGTGCCCAAAAGCACAAGGTGTGCAATACTCAGAGACATGGCCAAGGTAAGAAAGGCTGAAAGACGACCACCACTGAACAAGACACACAAGCTGAAACGTCAAGACTGGGCCAAGAAATATCTCAAGACTGATTTTCTAAGGTTTTATGGACTGATGAAATGAGAGTGAGTCTTGATGGGCCAGATGGATGGGCCCGTGGCTGATTGGTAAAGGGCAGAGAGCT